CAGGGCTCAAGAAGCACGCGACGGCAGCCCTCCTCCGCGCCTACGCAGGGCCGGCAAGCCAGCACTCCTTGCGAATGGAGCTCGCGACGGACGCCGCGACGGAGCAGTGCGACGACCTGCTCGCTGGCTGCTGGCAGGACCTGCTTGGGCGGGACCTCGGCGACACGGCCAAGGAGCTGCTGGGCCTCCCAGCCCGCTTCGGGGGCTTGGGCGCGCAGCTGGCTACCACGCGCCGCCACGCGGCTTTCCTGGCCTCTTGGGCGCTGGCGGCGGGGGAGGTCACGGAGGACCAGGGCAGCGGGACGCTGGCAGACTGCTTGGAACGGCTGTCGCGAGCGGCCCAGCAACTGACCACTGCGAGGCAAGGGCTGCAAGACCAAGGGCTGGAGCTCGCCGCGGGCGGGGACCTGGCGACTGCGCTGCAGGCGCCCCTGAAGCAAGGCCTGGCAACTGAGAAGGTACAAAGAAACCAGCACGCAGCTCTGCTGCGACGCTTGCACCTTGCCGGACAGGCCGAGCTGCGGGGGGCGGCCGGCAGCGGCAGCGGCGCCTACTTGACCTACCCAGAGGACGAACTCTGCACGCTGGAAGACGCCCACTGGGAGACCAGCGCCAGGCGGCGGCTGCAGCTCCCGCGCGCGGAGCTCAGCCAGCGCGAGCTCGCGACGACAGGGGCCGCCTGCTGCTTGCGCGGCGCCGACGGGGCCAGCTGCGCCAGGGCTCTGGACGAGCGCGGCTACCACGCCTTGACTTGCCAGCGGGGCGGGGGGGTGCTGGCGCGCCATGGCGGACTCAACCGGAGGGTCGCTGGGCTCCTCCACCGCTGGCGCGGCGAACGGCCACTCCTCGAGCAGAGAGTACCGACTTGGGACCGCCAGCGTCCAGAGGGCCAGCTCGAGCGCGCCATCCTGGACTTGGAGTACCAGGAAGACGACGGGGCCCGGTGGCTGGACGTCTCCGTTCGCCACCCCGCAGCCGGCACGCCAGCCGAGCTGCGCGTGGCCGCGCGCCGGGACGGCGAGGCCAGCAGGCGCGGCGAGCGCGAGAAGTACGCGCGCTACCCAGGCGCTCGGCTCACGCCCTTCGTCCTCGAGGCGGGGGGGCGGCTCGGCGCCGAGGCCCGCCTCTGGCTGCTCGGGCAGGTAAGACGCCTGCCTGAGGAACAGCAGCCGCGGGAGCTGGCGCGGGCCTACAAGGTCCTGAGCTGCGGCCTGCAAGCTGCCACGGCGCGCCAGCTCCGCAAGGCAGCCGGCCTGCCTAGGCGGCGCGCCAGGCGTCGGCGCCGCCGCCACCGGAGGCCGCTCGAGGGGGACGCCGCCCTTGCCACCGCCTAGCGAGCGCGACACCCGGGCTGCAGAGCGCGGGCCAGCTGGCCGCAGGCCCCAGACGCTTGGCGAGGCCGCCAGCCCGCGCGACCCCGCGCCCGCGGGCCCGCTGCGGAGCGCTGCTGGCTTACTGCGCCGCTGACTGCGCTGCGGCGGCTGGGCGGCGCTACTGGGGGGCACCGACGACTGCGACGCCGCGGTGAGGCGCAGGCCGGCGGCCGGGGAGGTCGCGTTCGTCTACGAGCTCCCTTGTATGCTGCCATAAGGCTATGGCCCGTCCGCGCGCGAGAGACACCGTGTCCGCCGCTGCTGCCCCTCCTCCTCCTCCTCCTCCCCTCCTCCTCCTCCCCTCCACCGCCTCCGCCTCCTCCTCCCTCCTCCTCCTCTTCCTCCTCCTCCTCCTCCTCCTCCTCCTCCTCCCCCTCCTCCCCACCTCCTCCTCCCCTCCTCCTCCTCTCCACCTCCTCCTCCTCCTCCTCTCCTCCTCCTCCTCCTCCTCCTCCTCCTCCTCCTCCTCCTCCTCCTCCTCCTCCTCCTCCTCCTCCTCCTCCTCCTCCTCCCCCCCTCCCTCCTCGAGGGCCCAGTGCGCCCCGCCGCGTGTAGACCCCGAGATCCTGGCGATGCAGTCTGCTCACAGTGGGCGTGCTCGCCAGGCGTGGGGCCCACGGGATCGGTGGGGGGGGGGGGCGCCCATCAGGGGGAGGAGGAGGAGGAGAGGAGGCGAGAGGAGAGGAGAGAGGAGGAGGACCAAGAGAGAGGAGGAGGAGGAGGAGAGGAGGAGGAGGAGAGAAGGAGGAAAAAGGTGGAGGGCGGAGGGGAGGATGAGTAGGAGGAGGAGGAGGAGAGGAGGAGGAGAGGAGAGGAGAGGATGAGGAGGAGAGGAGGAGGAGGAGATTAAGAGATTAGGAGGTTAGGAGGAGGAGAGGAGGAGAGGAGGAGAGGAGGAGAGAGGGAGAGGAGCGGAGGCGGAGGAGGCTGACGTGGAGGCGGAGGAGGAAGAGGAGGAGGAGGAGGAGGAGGAGGAGGAGGAGGGGGTTGATGACTAGCGGGGGGTCATCATGGCGTCGGCCATGATATATCACCAGTTTTCATGGCGCCTCTTATTATTTCAATGCGTCCCCGGCCCCCCCCCTGCTGGACCGCGCACATGCCGCTGGCCATGATTTGGGCCCCCCCCTCTTGGACGCTCCCCCTTTCGGACGCGCTCGAAAAGTGGCGCAGGAAGAGGTCGGGCAGGACTAGAGCGAAGACAAATCCATTCCAGAACGTTCCGGAACGCTCTCAGAGCGTTCCGGGGCGCGGCGCCCGAGACATCCTCCAGAGCCGCTGGGTCTCAGAGATTCTCGACCTACCCTCACCCCACTTGATCCTCGCCCTGGCTTCGTCTCAAGGGGGGGCTTCAGTAGTGATGTTCAGTGGCGCTGCAGCTTCTTGCGCAACATCCGATCTGAGGGCTCGTCCCGCGGCTGCGGCGGGAGGCCCCTGGACGTAGCTTCGGCCTCCGGGGGGGGCCCCCGCCGGGCGCCCAGGGCCGTCGGCGAACGGCAGGGGACGAAGAGCCAGCTCCTGGCGAAGCGGTCCCCAGACTTCCTCGAGGCTGAAGAGACGGGGGTCAATGCAAGCGGGGGTCAGTCAAAGCGCCGGACCTTGCAGGATCCTGCAGCAGGATCCTGCCAGACCCGACTGGCCCGGGTCTGGGTTGACCCGGGCCAGTGCGTCCCCGACCTCCAGAGGACGAAGCTATGGTCTAACGATCGTGGCCTCGGGTTTCTGTGGGGAGGGGACGCCAGCTGTCAGTATGCTTACCCGACCCCTATCCCCATCCCCATCCCCATCCCCGTCCAGACTCCCCCCATCTCAGCGCCCCAGTTGGGGATATCACCCTCGAAGCCCGAAGGAAACGGCCTACATCCCCAGCTGGTGGAGCACATCGGCCAGTGGGGCCCAGGCACCGCCCATGGGGATAGGGGTCGGCTAAGCTATGCTCAGGGGCGCCAGCTGGCCACCCTGCCGATCTTGGTCGCGCCCCTACCAGGCCCAGGATCGGCGTTCCCCCTGATATCCGACGTCGCAAGCAAAGTGGCAGCACCGCGGGAAGTCACGACCAGAGCCCTGGGCCCTCATCTTTCCCCGGCGGTTCTCGAGCCAGACCGATCCGTGAGGGCCCCGGGGCCCAATATCAAGGCGATGTTTTTGGGGGTTTAGGGTTTAGGGTTTAGGGTTGTATACATATACATATAACGGCGCACCGGGTCTGGCGCAACGGGGCCGGCGCCGCTACCGCAATTGTGGGCCCCGGGGCCCTCGGGGAGCCCTGGGGCCTCACAGAAGGCCGTCAGAAGGCGCCAAGGAGGCAACAAGAGGCTTCAGAACAGACCCGGGACGCCCGAAGGTCGCTCCCAGACGCCCAACATGGCCTCCAAGGCGGCTTCAGAAGCCCCCAAGACACCCCAAGCGATCCCCAATAGGGCCCCAAAGAGAGCCCCAAGGGGCAAAAATAGCCCCATTCCCTTCATAAAACGTATATGTTTAACATATTGCTTGTTTTCGCTGTCGGTCCGTGCTTGACGACCTCAGAAGCTCCCAAGACCGCCCCAATACGGCCCAGGACGCGCCCCAGAGGGCCCCAATACAGCCCCAGAAAGCTCCAGGACGGCCCACGAAGGGCCCAAGACGGCCCAAGAGAGTCCCCAAGACGGGCCCGTGAGGGCCCCAGAGGAGGAAAGCCACCATCGAATTCCAAGCTTTCGACCCCAAGTGGCTCCAGGAGGCGCCGAGAAGCCCCCAAGAAGCGCCCGGAAGGCTCCCAAAAGCACCCCAAGACGCTCCAAGAGGCACCCCAAGAGAGCTCCAAGAAGCAACAATCGCCCCATTCCTGTAGGAAAACGTATATTTGTCGTAGGCTCGCCTGTTGGGCTGCCATCGCGTCCAAGACGGCCCAAGGGGTTCCCAAGACGGCCTAGGAGGCCCCTCCGTAGCCATTTTGGCTCAAGCCGTTGAGGGGCTAAAGACCTTCTGGCTCAAGAGCTTGTGGACTTCAAGTGCCGCCCAGCAGGCAGCCTCTAAAAGAAATCGTGCCAGGGCGCTCCATCGCCATGGGACTTCATACCGGCGCTCATTTTGGGTTGTGGGTAGCAGTGATGGTTGCGTTGCCGCCCGCCTTTGCGATGAGGGACACGCTCGATGCCGACAGCATTCTCTCTGGATTGCAGGAGAGAGCAAAGGCAGTGGCGACACCAGAGACTGCCTTTGAGAAATTGCCGTCAGACTCCAGGGAGGCAGCGAAACACAGCGAGGCCGACCAGCAGGACAATGCCGTGGCGTCCGCTTCTGGAAAGCACTCCAGCGCTGCCATCGTCGCGAAGCAGGGCGAGCTGGAGCAGGTGTGCGGTGATATCAAGCAGTGCTTCTGCATGAAGAACACTCTTTACCATATGAACAATGTCTGCGGTTGGTGCGAGTCGACGCAGACTGCTATGACAGGGACTTCCTCGGGACCAGAGGACCACGAGGTACCTTGCAATCAGTGGATCTGGTCTCACCGAGATTGTCCTTATCTCCGGTGCGATGAGGACTGGTCGTGGAAAGCCATGTTCGGGCTTCTCGGCCCCCCCATGTTCTACACGCTGGCTTGGGGATGTGCTATTATTTATTTCACTCCGACGCGTGAGGTTCAGAAGCCAGCAACGATGCAGTACAAGAGGACTTTGGAGAACTTCGCAAAGGGCCTCATGGGGGAGCGAGCGAGAAAGCATAAGGAGCCGTTTCAGCAGTACTTTCCATACAAGCCTCGCCTGTCATTTCTCATTGGCAGGTTGTTCGGGACTGCTGCCTTGCAGCAGGCGCTCGGGCAAAGCCTCAAGTTCGGCTGCTTTATGTCGGTGTTCTACACCGTCCTGCGCCTGCTCCCAATGGTGTGCGACCGACTGACCTTCGAGCTCGTGAGCTCCACGCTGAATGAGATCAAGACACTCTCGGGTCATCTCGAGGTTGCAGTGGGCTTCCTGTTCTCGTTCTACGCTCTTGGCCGTGTCAGCTGGTGGTGGGAAGTGATCTCCCATTGTCGGAGCATGCAGGGCCGAACTCACGACCTGGCCATGATGATCGGCGGCTACAGCACCGTCAAGGAGTGCCCTTCCGAGGGAGGCGACACCGATACGAAGGCTACCTGGCTGGACGCAAAGTGGAACTTCTTCAGGCACTTGATGTTGGCCTGGTTATTGTGTTTCAGGGGGCTGAGCCCTGACTTCGGAACAGTAACGCTTGAGGATATCCAAGCGGCCGGGCTGATGAATGAGAACGAGAGCGAGATCATTCAAAAAAGCGAGCATATGCGCAAGGTTCCATTGAAGTGGCTTGCAGCGTGGGTCGAGCATTACATAGAAGACATGACTGTGCGCGCCCTTGTCATGGACAAGCTCTGTGGGCTGCGCGGTGCGATGGCTTCTCTTCACGATGCTGTGGAGCTCAGAGCACCGATGTCCTTCGAGGGACTGATGTACACATTGGTGATGGCGTGGGTCACCACCATTCCCTTCGGCCGGCTCAAGGAGCTCGATGACAGAAGAGTGGTGCTCGAGGAGAACGTGCTCATTCCAGTGTTCGGTGCTGTGTGCACTTACGGTTTCTACATATCCATGGTTGCGCTCCTGGAAACCTTCAAGCAGCCCTTCGGAACAAGCAGGGACTCATTGAACGCGGACACGCTCATCTTAGAGACGGAGACGTCTGTCTGGGACTACATGACGGCCCCTTCGCCAGATTGCTTCCATGGCATCCTCATCGCCGAGAGGCACACGCTGTCCGACGAGAGCACGCCGGCCGAGGCGCAGCCGGGCCGTGCCGCCCAGAGCGGCCCGTCTGCCGAGGAGGTGGCTCTCGATCCGCAGAGTGGCAGCCACGCGCAGTCCAATGACTAGATGGATTTGCAGGTGCAGTGTGCGCGCGCGCAGCCAGTGCGGGCAGCACACCCAGGCTCTTCAGCGGGAGGGAGTGGGGGATGTATCTGGTGGCGGGGGGGGGGAGGGGGGGGGGCCTTCTGCGGTTCTCTTGAATCAGATGCGCCCGTGGAGCCGTGGAGAGAGCCAGGACGGCCGCGGTGTCGGAGGCCCACCGCTGGGCCCGAGGCCCATCGCGCGCCGGGCGGCAGCGTAACGAGCAAGAGGAGGCGGAGGAGGCGGCGGCGGTGGAGGAAATGGGAGGCTCGCATGAGTTATCACCGAACTTTTTGCGCAGCGGCCGTGATTGCGCGTCCCGCACACGCTGCCGGCGCCGCGTTGGCCCTGAATATCCCCACGGTTGACGCTTGCCCTTCTGGGAGGAGTCCGCCTCCTCTTCCTGTCTCCTTTGGGGGCCACAGGGTTCGGCAGCGCGAGCTGCCTAGAGCCTGAGTGTGTCTGCTTTCCGTGCGCCTGCTTCCCATCAGTCGACGCTATGAGCTCCCAGAGAAAAAAAAAAAAAAAAGACGGCCCAGGAGGCCCCCAAAAGAGCTCCAAGACGGGCCACGAGAAGCCCAGGACGGCCCAGACGGCCCAAGAGAGCCCCAAGACGCGCCCGAGAGGAGTCCCAGAGAAAGAAGCCACTCTCGAATTCCAAGCTTTCGGCTCCAAGAGATCCCAGGAGGCGCCGATACGCCCCCAAGAGGCCCCAAGCAGGCCCCCTAAAGCACCCCAAGATGCTCCAAGAGGCACCCCAAGAGAGTCCCAAGAAACTAAAATCCTTCCATTCCTATGGGGAAACGTATATTTTTCGCATGCTCGCCTCTTGGGCTATCACCGCGTCCAAGACGGCCTAAGAGGCCCCCCAAAACGGCCTAGGAGGCCCCCAAGAAATCTCCAAGACGGCCTACGAGGAACGCAGGACGGCCCAATCAGCCCCCAAGACGGCCCAAGAGAAGCCCAAGAAGCGCCCGAGAGGGGTCCCAGAAGAAGACAGCCACTTTCGATGTCCGAGCTTTCGGTCCCAAGAGCCCCCAGGAGGAGCAGAGTTTTCAAGCATTATACAAGCACGTCAGGGGGTCAACGTTCTCTGTGTTTCGAGAGGGCAAGGTTCTTGATACGTTTTTCCCTGCCGCATGTCACCCCTGGAGCGCGCCGCCGCGGCTGGCGAGTTAGAGGCACCGATCGCATATGTTGGTTTTTGCAGCCAATATCATCAGATGTTCGGGGGGCAGGACCTGGATTCAACTGTCCAGCCCGACTTGGCAGTTTTTGTAGTGAGGTGTCCATGTTTTGCGACGGTGATTGTGCCTTCCCCTTTTGCAGACTCTGCCACGCCAGCCAATGCGACCAGCATTGCAGACGGGTCTGTCCATCGATGCTAGGTGAGATAATCCATGTATGGCGTTTGCAGGCCAGACGGTTAGCGTCTGTGGCCGCGCCTTGAAAATGCAGCTTTCGCTTAGAACTTCCTCCCCAAAACGAGCTCGTCTGGATTTCGAAACCCTCGGTCTCGATTTCGAAATGTGGCTTTCGCCTAGGACTTCCTCCCCAAAACAAGCTCGACTGGATTTCGAAACCCGCGGGCTCGATTTCGAAAGGGCGGTGCCGCCCGAGACTGGAGCGAAACATGCTCCAACCGAACATTGTACTGGGGCCCCGCGGCCGAACGGGCCCACTGCCAACGTTGTACTGGGGCCCCGTCGCCTAACGGGAGGCGTTAAATTTTGGCCGAACTTTCGTAGCGGCGAAGTATCCCCCATGGGCGCCCCCCGGAACCTTTGGGGGTCCAGAGGGCCTTGAAGAGGCAAAAACCCGCCCATTCCTGGTGTAAGACGTAAATTTTCAGCATGCTCGCTGGCTTCGTCTTCACAGTGCCCCAGAGAGACCCAAGAGGGCCCCAGACGGTCCCAAAAGGGTCGGCCTGTGGGGCTCACGGAACCCCGCGGGACGGCCCAAGAAGCGCCAAAACGGCCCAGGAGGCCCCAAGGACGCCCTCAGGGAGAGGCCCAAGAGGGCCTCGTTCGAAATCATGTTCCCGGAAGCCTCTCCAGGAATACGATTTCCGCGGTGCGGGCCTCTGTGCCAAATGTATCATCCGCGTTGTATTGCAAGAGAGCCTCTCCCGGCCCATCAAGCCTCTCCCGGATCATGTTCCCCGAAGCCTCTCCCGGAACATGACCTCCCGGCTCCCAGGACGCCCAAGAGGCCCATAAGACAGCCTCAGCGAGGCCCAAGAGGGCCCGAGATGGCTTGAAGATGGCCGAAGAGGGCCCCAAGAGAGCCTTCAAGAGGCACACATCGGCCTTTACCCTACGTAAAACATACATTTTCAGCATGCTCGCTTGCTTCGTCTTCAGAGTGCCCCAGACGCCCCCGCGGAGCCCCAAGACAGCCCAAGAGAGACCCAAGAGGTCCCAAGGCCCAAAAAGATCGTCCCGTGGGGCTCGCAGAACCCCCCAAGACGGCCCAAGAGGACCCGAAGCCTGCCCAGGAGGCCCCCAAGACGGCCTCAGGGAGGCCCAAGAGGGCCTCGTTCGAAACCATGTTCCCGGAAGCCTATCCAGGAACATGACCTCCGGATTCCCAGGACGCCCAAGAGGCCCACAAGACAGCCTCCGCGAGGCCCAAGAGGGCCCGAGATGGCTTGAAGATGGCCGAAGAGGGCCCCAAGAGGGCCTTCAAAAGGCAAACGTCAGCCAGCTCCCTAAGTAAAAGTTACGTTTTCAGCATACTCGCTTGCTTCGTCTTCACAGTGCCCCAGACGCCCCCGAGGAGCCCCAAGACAGCTAGAGAGAGACCCAAGAGGGCCCAAGAGGGCCCGAAAGGGTCGTCCTGTGGGGCTAACGGAACCTCCCAAGACGGCCCAAGAGGCCCCAAAGCCGGCCCAGGAGGTCCCCAAGATGGCCTCAGGGAGGCCCAAGAGAGCCTCGTTCGAAATCATGTTCCCTGAAGCCTCTCCGGGAACATGATTTCCGGATTCCCAGGACGCCCAAAGACAGCCCCCAGAGGCCCCGGACACGCCGAAGATGGCCTCACCCCGGCCGACGACGCCGCCAAAACGCCCCACGTGCGCCTCCAGAGGCCCCTCCAAAAGGCCCCAGAAGCTGAAAGTTACAAATGTTCCTATGGCTTTTGAAGCATTCTTGCGCTCTCCCATGTCTCCCCAAGGTCCCGGACCGCGTCAGAGGCCCTTCAGATCGCTCCAAGACGGCCGCAGAGGCTCCCAAGACAGCTCAGAGACGGCCCAGGAGGCTCCCCAGATAAGTCAAGAGGGCCTCGAGAGCGCCCCAAGAGCGACCCAAAGGGCCCGAAGAGCGCGACATTTCAAGGTCTCCGGCCTGAGAGGCTCTTAGGACGCCCCCGGAGGCCATCAAGAGGCTCCCAAGAAGCCCCGTGAAGCTCCCAAGAGGCCCCCCGGAAGCCATAATAGGCCCCCAAGGGGCCCCCAGGGAAGCCCCCTGCGGGCCCCCAAGACATTTCGGTAAATCGGATTTCCCAGATAGCTCCAGGAACATGATTCCTTCTGCTTCCGCCCACCGCCCCGACCATGTTTCCAACAGGCTTGCCGACAAGGCCAAAAGGGGCCCCTGGTTAAGCCCCCAGAGGCCCCCCTCTTAAAGAGCCGAACAAACCATGCTCCCGGAAAGCTTCCCGGGAGCATGATTCTCTATCTCGGAGTAGGCCCAGGGGGGGGGCAGGCCGCTGCCTGTTCCTCCCAGCGGTGCCCACCGGGGGTTGCGGGGGGGGGTCCAGAGCTCCCGAGGCGGCCGAGCCCGCGCCGAAGCAGGCCACGACAGGCTAAGGGGGTCCCGAGAGGGCCCTAGACGGTCCAGAGAGGCCCCGAAGACATCCAAGATGCCCTCAAGACAGCCGGCGAGGACTCCAACACGCTCTAGGATGGACTCAAGAGGCTCCCCAAGAGGGCCCTGGAAGGCAAGATTCACTCGTTTCCGAGTGTTTTGGATTTTGGCGTTCTCGCTTTTTCCGCTTTCCAGCGCTCCCTTCACGGCCTCGGAGACCCTTCAGATCGCTCCAAGAAGGCCCACGAGGCCCCGACGAGGGCCCCAAGACGGCCCAGGATGCTCCCCAGACAACCCAAGTGTGCCCCAAGAGCGCGCCAAGAGAAGGCCCAGAGGGGTCCCGAGGCGGCCCGCCCCGAATCAGGCCACGACAGGCTGATGGAGGTCCCGAGAGGATCCTAGACGGTCCCAAGAGGCTCCGAAGATGCCCAAGCTGCCCTCAAGACGGCCGACGAGGACTCCAACACGCTCCAGGACGGACTCAAGAGGCTCCGCAAGAGGGCCCAGGGAGACAAGATTCACTAATTTTCCAATGGTTTTTGAAGGACTTAGGCGTTCTCGCTTTCCCCGTTTCCCAGCGCTCCCTCACGGCCTCGCTCGGAGGCCTGTCAGATCGCTCCAAGACGGGCCACGAGGACCCGAAGAGGGCCCCAAGACGGCTCAGGAGGCTCCCCAGACAACCCAACTGTGCCCCAAGGGCTCCCCAAGAGAGGGCCCAGAGGGGACCGCCAACCGATATCTCGAGGTCTCTGGCCCTAGAGGCCGCCTGTAGGCCCCTGGAGGCCACCAAGAGGCTCCCACGAAGCCCCGTGAGGCGCCCAAGAGGCCGCCAGGAAGCCCCAAGAGCCCCCCAAGGGACTCCCAGGGAACGCCCAAGAGGCCCCCCAATACACCCCAAGAAATCATGTCCCTAGAAAACCTTCCGGGGACATGGTTCATCATGGGCCCGAGAGTTCCCGGAGGCCTCCCAAGGGGCCCCTAGGGAACGCCCAAGAGACCCCCCAAAACACCCCAACAAACCATGTCCCAAGAAATATGGGCCCGCGAGTCTCCGGAGGTTTCGAAGTACCATCATGCTACAGGAGAGCTGTCTGGGAAGTTGATTGGGAACATGACTGATCGCCTTCTCGCGGCCCTCCGCAGATCGTTTCGCACAGAGTTGCCCCGAGCGCCATCTTGAAGCGACGACGACGACGACGAAACGACGAAGACGACGACAACATTACGACGACGACGACGACCACGACCACGACCACGACCACGACCACGACGACCACGACGACGACGACGACGACGACGACGACGACGACGACGACGACGACGACGACGACGACGGCGACGACGACGACGGCGCGCCCCATAGGCGACGACGACATTACGACGACGACGACGACGACGACGACGACGACGACGACGACGGCACGCCCCAACGGGCTCCCCAAGACGCCCCAAAACCCATGCTCCCAGAAGCTTTCTGGGAGCCCGATTCAAACGGCCTCCGCCCCCCTACACAACCATTTTCCTCGAAGGCCTTTCGGAAAGCAGATTGGCAAGCGTGTACCGTGGTCCACTACTTCAGTGGAGCAGTGACTTCGTCAAGGCCTGGGGCCTGCTAGAACCTGAGCGCGCGGAGCGCGCGCGATGGTTCTAGTATATATATATGTGTGTGAAACAAATCAAGGCGATATGTTCCTGAGGGAGAGCTCAA